GGCCGCCGGTGCTGGGACCCCCCTCCCGCCGCCAGAAGCCCCCCTCCTCCTGCATTTAACCCCTCCAGCGCCGCGCTTCCCTCTGCTGTGCCTCGCCCTCGCCTCCGGCGCAGCTCTCCGCAGACCCTTACCTGCGGCTGCCCAGCCCCCCAATCCTGGCCGGTCCCGGGAGATGAGTGGCAGAGGAGCCCGGGAGGGGTCGCCGTTGGGTCAGGCCTGGAGTCTCAGGCCGGGGCCCTGGTTCTGCCCTGTTGGCCAGCCAGCGTGGCCCGCGGCACGGCCCCAACTTGGACATCAGCCGGCTCACCTCTTGGGACAGGCTCCACTCTAATCTCCCAGCATCTTCCAGGCCCACTACCAGGTGGGAAGGGCCCTCAGCTCCCCGCCCCGAGGGACAGCCTGGCCCTTGGGCTCTGCACTCATGAGGGAGAAGACCCCAGGGGACAAAGGGGTGGGGGATCCCCTGAGGCAACCTGGAATTGGCCAAGGTAGGGTTGGGACCAAGCTCTGGGAAATCAAGGTGGGGCACCTCCTGCACCCCCATCTTTTGTTTCTCACTTCCATGCCCATCCCCCAGCCAAGAACTGGTGCCAGCACTCCCTCCCCCACTGTCTGAACAGCAGCGCCCTGGCAGGTCCTGGAACTCATCTCCTCTCTGCTCTTACCCATTTCTTTACAACTCTGATCTTGCCAAAGACCCTCCTCTTGCCTGGGGGCCTCAGCCTTCACTAGGGTGGTTTTAAGCGTGAGCTCTAAGGCTGGCCATCCTCTACCAGTAGGGGGCCTAGACAGGTTACCGAACTCTCCCCACCTCCCAGTCCCCACTTACAGAAAAGGGATGGCTCTCACCTCAGGCTGCTGTTCTGAGCCTTAAAGTGGTTGGTATTTGTAAATGCTCAAAACAGAGCCTGGCACTCACAACTAAGTGCCCTACAAATGTTGGCAATTTTCCTTTCAACAAAAAGTGATGGTCCAGTTTCGAGCTGATTCTCTGAGTCTCAGATACCTTCTCTGGAGGCCCTGAGGCCTGCTGCTTAGGAGAGTCCCAGGTGAAGGGTTTCAAGACAGGCTCAGTGCTAGGCCCCAGGAACTCCCAGGAACTGGAACAAATGGCCACACACATAGGCAGGAGACAGACCTTCTGATAAATGACTCCCGGCCAAGGGACAGAAGACAGATCTGTAACGGCTGTGACTACAGAGGGCAGTGACTGCACTATTACAGACAGTCAGGGAAGGGGCCCCCCAGGACCACCAGGCAGGCTGTGTCGGAGCAGCCCAACCATCTGGCCAAATCCACACCTGCTAGGGAGATGGGGGCTGCTCGGTTACTGGCCAACTCCTCCTCCGCAGGCCTTGGACTAACTCCTGGACCTGAAGGCCAGGTTGGGCATAATGACAGGCAAACAGGGTCTCTGGAAATCCCTATCCACTAAGGGTAAGAGGCATAGTAGCCATGCAATCACTGTGCCAAGGGACCCGGGAGGGGGGGACACAGTTCCCTGACCTGGAGATGGTAGGCTTCATAAAGGAGGTGAAATTTGAAGCAGATCTTGAGGAAAGAGTAGAAATTATTCAAGCGGCGAGGGGACCAGAGTGGGAGCAGGGCCCTTCTGGTCTCTCTTCTCCTCAGACTGCAGGCTCCTCCGTCTCCTCACCCACCAGCCTCGGGGGAGGTAAATGGCCCCTGCCCAGCCCAGCAGCCCCCCTCAAGGGCCGGTGTCTGATCAGCCTTAGACCAAACAGGCAACGGTGTGAGAAACACAAGCAGACAACTGACAGACAGTGAATAGACTCGGGGCACAGACACTGTTTATTGAGTGGCAGGCGCAGGAGAGGTGGCTGGCTCTGGTGTACAAGCAGAGGTGGTAGATCATGCCAGGCTGCTACGAGCATCTGGCAGCCAGGGCCATGCCCCCCATCCTAGGGGACAGCACAAGCTCACTACAACAGGAGTAGCAAGGAGCCGGCCTGGGAAAGAGGCAGCCACAGCCCCCGGGATCCCGGGCAAGAAGCGGCAGATGAACTTGGCACAGGGGTCTGGGGTGGGAGGGACTGGGGTCTGGGTGTTCTGCGGGGAGATGAAGGGGGATCACGTCTGTGGGGTAGAGTAGAGACTGTGATGGTGGCTGCCTGGTCCCAGAACCTGGGAGAAGAGCAGAGGAGTGGTCCGCGTCTGGCTGCCCCCGCACCAGCCTGGCTCCCGCCCGATGGCACCGTACCAGCTGCTGGAGCCTAGGCTGCCTGACATGCTGCAGGCAGAGAAACAGGCTCAGTCCCATGGCAGTCACTAGGACCACAGTCGCAAGAGTTGGGGGAGGGAGAGACACCTAGAAGAGCCCAGTGACCCAGACCTCTCTGACTATGGCAAACTTCATCTTGGAGGGAGAGGTGGAGGCTTTAGCAGTAGCAAACCACAGGGGACCTCACCTGGTACAGATCGTGGCACGGGTGGGGGTGTGGGAAGGCCCAGCTGCAGGTCCCCATGGCTCAATGGGGCAACCCGGGAGCCCAGGGGTCCTGAGGTGGAACCGGGACTCCTACCTGGTGCTCTCACCCCGGCTGTGCTCCCAAGAGCAGCCCTCATCCTCGCAGTGTGCCCGGTCAAAGAAGTAGGAACGGGAGCCAAAGACCTGCCCGTTGAGGATGCGGCTGGTGCTCTGGGGGAGGGAGCCGCCATTGATGCTTCCTCCTGCCCCCCACTGCCCTCCCCCAACCCCCAGAACCCAGCCCAGGTACCCCCAATGCCGCCCCTCTCCACTGGCCCTCACCAGGTCCTGTGGGGGCCGGTGCACCCGGAAGAAGCCCACCAGCAGGGTGGTGGGCAGCAGCTCCCACACAAAGAGGATGAGGCCAAACACCAGGTAGCCTTTGTTCCCCAGGTCGTTCACCAGGTCCGCCTGTGGGGAGGCAGGGGCTGTGCCAACCTGCAGTCGTGCCAATGGGGCACCCAGACAGGGCCCAGGCCAGCTTGAGGGCCAAGAGCCACAGCTACTGAGGAGGCGGCAGACGTGCCGAATGCGCACCTGATCAGAGACGTTGTACCAGTCGTAATCGAAAGCGTCCAGCCGGCTCCGGGGGGCCAAGGCCAGGGCCGCCAGGTTGTAGCAGGCCCGGCTGGCATACAGCAGAACCATGGCACCACCCATCGCAGCTGCCTGGCACACACTGGTCCCCTGGCACAGATAACAACAGAGGATCCTTAGGGAGGGTAGGCTCCAGCTTTCTCTCTACTCTGAAGACCCCAAACACCCCAAAGGACACTCAGGCATCAGCGCTTGTGGGCCTACCTTGGCCTCCAGGTAGATGCTGGTGGAGGGAGCCCGCCGGGCAACAAGGCAGAGGCAGGCGGCAAGAGAGAGTGCGCAGATAACAAACAGGGAGTCGCTCACCAGGACGCGCACCAGCAGGAGGGCCCAGGGCTGTGCCCGGCGCCGGCGGGACAGCACTGCACACAGCACATTCACCAGCAGGAAGAGCAGCGAGGCCCCCACAAAGGCCCCTCGGACAGCCAGCCTGCGGCCCACAACACCGTCAGCCCCAGAAGACCACCCTTGGCGCTCCCCAACCACCCAGCCTCCCCCAGGAGACCCCGGTGTCCATCGGAACCCCTGGTCATCCAGTCTGAACCCTGCTCCTCTAGTTTTACAGATGAGGAAACCGAAGCTGAAGAGGTCAGAAGATGACTGACGGCTGTGGTACAGCAGAGAGAGCACTGGACTGGGAGTCAGAAATCTGGGTTTAAGCCCTGGCGGTGCCTCCCGCCAGGTGTGTGACCTTGAACGTGTTGCTCTACCTTGCTGGGCCTCAGTGTCGTCACCTCTCAAATGGGGATAATAACAGCTTCACAGGTAAGTTGTAAAAATTAAAGATGTTTGTGAAAGCTCTTAATAAACTGTGAGATGTTATACAAATGACAAGAGTATCACTGCCCAAGGTCACCCAGAAGTGCCCTTTGGCTTTGGAGTTTCCAAGGGCTGGGGCCTCCAACTCTTCCTCCATCATGGATGACATTGGTACCCTCTCCCTTCACAGTATCTCAACTGTTTCTATTATAGTTGTCCTTCACATGTGCAATGCCTCTGCTGAGCCATCTGCACCAGATGCCTGACTCTTCCAAGCTTTTCAAATATTCTGGATTGTCCTCGCCTCAGACCTACCGGGAGGAAGGAATGGACACCGGGCTTCTCCCTGCCCCTGACCTGGAGGCTGAACCCACCAGTGTCCCGAGTACTTACAAGCCTCGGCTCATCTCTGGCCGACGCTTTGCCTTGGCCTTGAACACCACCTGGGAGCAGAGCCGCCCATCACTCTTTGGGGCCCTTGGGGCTTGCCATCCCACTGCCCACCCCCACCCGTCACCATGGTTACCTGGGCAAAGTAGAGGTTCATAAGCGTCAGTGTGAAGAACTGGAGGCAGACAGGACAGCAGTAGAGAAGCCAGAAGGGCAGTGGCCCCAGACGGTTGGCTCGGGGTGTATCTCGAAAGTAGAAGGAGAACAGGGTGGTACGTAAGGCAGCCCAGAGCAGACAGAGTGCCAGGAACACCGTCTGATAGCTGAGACGCTTGTGCCCATACAGGAGCACCAGCCAGAGCTGGGCATAGACGGAGAAGAAGAGCAGGGCGTACAGAGTGGTGTAGGCCGCAGTCAGCCCCAGGGTCACGGCGGGCGGCAGCGCAGGCACCAGCCCAGCAGCAGGCACCAGGCCAGACAGGTTACTCTCCATGTCAGGGAGGGAGGCCTGAATCCCGGAGACAGAGATGGAGGGGCTGGCAGGGGGCCAGGGAAATAAATACGGAGGGGTGGGAGTTGTAGGGTGCAGAGACAGAGATGGGGAGCTCAGGGGTAAAGAAGTTGTGGCTGGCCAGGCCCTC